CTATACTAATAAATAAAAATATATTTTTTTGTTTATATGAGAGGGTCGGATGTCGTCGGACTATATTTCGCCGGGTCGCGCGCTGCATGGAGGAGAAGCAAAAATGCTGAGGTTGTGCGACGTCTCCAGATTTGTCTGAAGGTGCGAGGGTGGTTGCATGCTGCTTAGAAGTCGCCAGATAAATGGCGGGCTGAGGTGCGTGGGCTGAACGTGAAGGGACACGGAAGATGCACAAGGAAGAAGATGAATAATAAGATATGAGATTTTGTCTCAGGTCGGTCGCTGCGGCTCTCGATGTTTATTTTACGTTCATTATATTTTTATGTTTGGTATATAGAATATTCGTACCATCGGGAGATCTGATAATATAAACACTGTTATAAATTACAAAACAACTAAATATAAACTTAGAAAAAATAATAGTTAGTAATTTACAATAAAGTGTATCCTTTCTGTATATGTAATAATTTTTTTTAAAAAAATAGTATTTTGACTAAATGTTTCCAAAAATAAGTTATATATAATATTTAGAGGAATTTACACCCAATACCTTCATACAATAATTATATTGCATATTTAACACCAGTTAGTTTTTTTTTTATGAAAATGCAACTTCAACACAAAATAATTGCACATATACCTAATGTTTAATTTTCGAAGTCAACACGTGAAATATGGAATGTTTTAATTAAGGTTTTTTCTCTTCAATTTTTCAACAAATCGCTGCAAGTTAATACTTTAAACAGAAGCCGTAATCAATTTTCCCTAGATCGAAAAATATGGTATTCAAATCCGGCTCGTCTGCCAATTCCCTGCCGCGGGAGGACACCCATCTGCTGTCCGGCGCCGGAAAGCTCCACGCCTCTCGTCCCAGCCTAAGACCTTCGCCAACGTCTTCATCTCCATCGTCGGTGTCGGCGTACTTGGCCTCCCGTACACTTTCATGCGCACCGGATGTCTGACCAGCCTCGTCACCGTCTTCCTCGTCGCCGCCCTCACCTACCACTGCATGATGCTCCTCTTCCACACCTGTCGCAAGCTCGAGGACTCCGCCGCCTGTGCCTTCCCAAAGATCCCATCTTTCAGAGATCTAGGGTTGGCCGTCTGTGGGCCCATCGCCAGGTTCATCGTCGATGCACTGATCGTCCTCTCCCAAGCTGGATTCTGCATCGGCATACCTCACCTTCATCGACAACACGCTCACCAGCCTTTTCAACTTCTCCTCCACCGCAAGCCCTACAATTTTAGGGCTCTCTGTAAAAAGCACATACAGCTGGAGCTGTTTCCCTTTTCGATTGGGCATATATACATATATATATATATATATATATCTGCAGTATATATTTTGTATATATATGCATTATATTTTCAATATATGTTTTCACATATACAACCAAGTGTATGTTTTCAATGAATTGACTACTGTATGGTTATATTTAGTATACAATCAGTGTTTTTGATCAATTTATTGTTGTTTTGTTGATTATTGTTTATGTTTGGTATATCTTTGAAGACGAAATTGACAAAAATGTATTTGTTGTTTTTTTTTGTTTTTTGGTATATTAAGATATTATTTGCAACATATACCGAATATATACTAACTATAAACTCAACATATAATGCTCATTTTAAGTTTATTTACTGGTACATATCATTCTACTATTGTGCTTGCAGTTAAGTAGAGTATGTTAAAAATTGTGTTTTGTATTGTTCATCTTTTAGTATATAGTTAGTATAATTCAAGTATATGTGGGATAAGTTTATTATGTGTTGAGTATTTTTTTATGTAATTCTATCAATTATATGTTTGTATGGACTGTATGTTAGTATATTTAAGTTTATTTACTGGTACATATATCATATTGTCATTGTGTTTGCAGTCAAGTAGAGTTTTGTCTAAAATTGTGTTTTGTGGTTGCTCATTACACGTGTAGTATATTTTCGGTATATTCAAGGCATATTCCAATGCTCAATTTGTAGTACAGCTTTCTAGTATATGCAAAGTTTATTTGCATGATATTTAAGTTAATTCTGCAACTATTTGTCATATCATTTGTTTTTTTAATTGCAGGGCATATTTTTTAGTATAATTCAGGTATATTGGACAGCAAATGCTTAGTTCAATGATATTTATATTTTTAATACTGAAAGTATTTTTCAGACTTCTTTTTTTGACAATTATCAAATTAATATAAAAAAATAAAAATTGTTACACTTCCAATACAAAGAACACAGATAAATCATAAACCAGACCCTAAAATCAATATATACACATATATATAAATATATATCTAAATCAGTTAAATTGCACGGAAACATATATTTGATATAAGTGGTTGTATCATTTTGCACAAATCCAGCAAAAGAAATGTACTGACGGTTCAAAATCATCGATTTCACCATGACCGCAACAACTCAGTCGAAAAGCTTTCAAAAAAATTCGTTTAGAATTTCTAACCGACCTTCATTCAGTCAAAATTTGAGACATAATTTGCTCCAGAAGCTCGAAAATCACGCAGAACCGGGATTCAAGTTTCAATAGAAGAGAAAGCAGATAGAGGATAGAGAAAACGATTCTCAGAAATATGCAGATATATTAGAGCTTATCTCATATATCTTCTCACTTTCTTGTGCAGATATGCGTGAAAAAGATGCCGATTTATGTTTCTTTTTTTTCCTGGTCACGTTGCGAAAATCACGCACAAAATATATGGAATAGCGGACGTTACAAAGGTTATAGATATTTAGGCAATCACGCAATTATTTTTTGTCCATTAGGTATACACCAAAATATTATGATAAAATCGAAATATCTTTTATTTCATGTAGTATGTATAAAAATTTCGCTAATATTTATCCTAGAAACATAGAAGATTTTAAAATAACCCACCACCGGTCCACCAGTCGCTCTCCAATTCAAGTGTCTTAAGAAAGCCCAAGTCCTGGAATAGCTGCATTTGTAGCCCATTATCGTTTGGGCTTAATTAGGTTTAGTCCATATATATTCCGGTTAGGGCTAGGTCTCATTTTCGCTTCCCTCTCCCAGCATATCTCACAATCGGAGTCGAAGGTGAGAGCAACTGAAATGGCGCCGAAGACCAAGAGATCGACTCGTAATCCGGAGCTCATCCCAGGAGTCCGTAAAGTCTCGCGCTCGCAGATGTACCACAAGCGCGGCCTTTGGGCAATCAAGGCCAAGAACGGCGGAAAATTTCCCCAGCACGAGAAGGCCACCGCCGCCCCACCGGTGGTGGAGAAGCCTCCCAAGTTCTACCCGGCCGATGACGTCAAGAAGCCTCTCATCAACAAGCGCAAGCCCAAGCCTACCAAACTCAGGTAATGTTGTTTCTCCTACTTTCTCTTTGATGTTCATTTGTGTTATTTGAGGCTGTCGTGTTTGTTGAGTTTTTAATTTTTCGGATTTTATTTTGGGCCAGGGCGAGTATTACTCCAGGCACAGTGTTGATTATATTGACAGGGAGGTTTAGGGGGAAAAGGGTTGTTTTCTTGAAGCAGCTGCCATCCGGGTTGCTTCTTGTCACTGGTGAGTGCCTTTGATTTCGTTCTTAATTTTTCGCATTTTTACATTATGTTTATTGATTTGTTTTTTTGATTATATTTCTGTAGTTCAATAAGTTGAAATATGGTATTTTTATGTTGGTAAGAATTTTACCTTTGCTGGTCCTTCATGTTTTAAACTCAGTCATTAAGTGAATTAATAGGGATTTTGCAGTTTCTATGCATTTGATTTTCACAGATTCGTGTGGGCAGCCTAAAAGTAAGGCGAGTCGGTTCGGCATGTGATACTTTCTGAAAAGAATTGCATACTTATACGGACAAGTGTTATACTTTTATCTACAATTTTTTTAAGTACTTTCACTTGTCTGTGTAAACATGCATATTTGTTAAAAAGATTTAACTGCCTAGGCCCAGCTGATAGGAGCCTTACCAATTGATTTTTATTAATTCATTTATATTTATTTAATGTTCTTTTACTTCTGCTTCTATTTTTGCTGTGTAATGATTTGTTGGGTGAATAGATTTAGGTTCCCCTAGTAATTGTAATTTTTCAGATTGAACTCCTGTTTGGTGTGGGATTCTACATTTTCTTGTGGCATCCATTTTTCCGTCACCTTAGAATGATGGTTGCTGATACTATCTTTTTGCTTGGTCATGAGTAGACATACAAAATAATAGTAGGATGTGTACATAACTATCAATGACTGTCTTGATTACTAAATGGCTGGTATTGATGTTATTTGCATTGAACATGCCAGGTATGGCTAAGTTTGACATGTTTGGATGCAGTTTCCATTGTTCTATTTCATAATTTATGACTTCTATTTGTTAATTGATAAAATATAGTTTTTTGACATACGTTGTAATATGAATATTCTCATTTCTCCTTTCAATACGGCATAAGGTCTTAAATCTTGAAATTTCTCTGAATTTGTCATCCAGGTCCGTACAAGATCAATGGTGTTCCTCTAAGACGCGTGAACCAGGCCTATGTTATCGGAACATCTACAAAGGTTGACATTTCTGGAGTGAACTTGGACAAGTTTGATGACAAGTACTTTGCCAAGCAAGTGGAGAAGAAGAAGAAGAAGGGCGAGAATGAGTTCTTTGAGTCTGAGAAAGAGGTTAGTTTTTCTCCAACTCATAGCTGCTGTCAAAGTTTGTCTAAGGTTTTGTGCTAATATTATATAATTTATATGTGTAGGAAAAGAACACCCTTCCTGCAGAGAAGAAAGATGATCAGAAGGTTGTTGATGCACCTTTGTTGAAGGCTATTGAAGCTGTTGCAGACCTCAAGACCTATTTGGGTGCTAGGTTCTCGCTCAAGTCTGGCATGAAACCTCACGAGTTGGTCTTCTAGAACTTTTTTTTTTTAGTCGGATTGTTTTTCTTTTATTTGCACCAAAATTGAGACAGTTGTTGTGTTTTGAGTAATCTCAGTGGGAGTGGGTTATATGCATTTCCAAATTTTTGCTTGCACTTTGTTAGACTCCTCTCCTTACGAAGGATCCTTTAATTGGCTATGTTATTTGATCGTCTCGTTTTATTCGTGCTTTTGTTTGAATTATACAACTAAAGAACCATGAGGTTCCTTGTGTCTACTGACCAAGAAGTCTATCCTGAAGTTAACTTCTTATTGTTACAAAAGCTTCCTCAGCAACTGTATTTTTTGGGGAGTCTGAGGCCTATTAGAAAAAGCATGACCCGGGGAAGTTTTTAAACAAATTGAGCTGCTTGTGGGCTCGACTTGGCTTGTTAACGCTCTTTGAGCTAGAAAATTAGGTACTTGTACTTAATATCCTGAACTACCAGGTTAGATCAGCTTTTTGATGTTTCAGTTTGGCTTGTTAATTTCGTTAAACCCGGCTTCACTTGTTTACAACTCTACTCCACTTGAAACTATTCTTGTGAATTGTCATATACTTCATAGCTAGTCTAACTTCCATCTTATAATTATGGTTGAGTAACATTGTATCACTCTATTGTACTATTATGTAAAAGAAGAAACACAAACTACATATATAATTTAACTTGGTCACATCCAATTCGCTAGCATGTATATATAAAGAGTGAGTCCAACATGCGAATAAAAAAAAAAAGGGAAACATGAAAAAGAAGTCTAAAAACTTGTAACCTCTAATATCCAAACAAGGATTTATTGATGGTCCTGACATAGTGTAGTGATGAGTCAAGGGCACATGCCACTGCGGAATCCCAACTTCTCTCCCGCAACATCATAAACCACCTCTAAGGTCTTCTGCTGATTATTGCCGAAAATAGCTAAATCAGTCGGTTGTTCGTTTGCGGCAAAAGCGAGGCACGTTGCCGATGGATCAATTACAATCATTATTCCAAAAGCATGCAAGTTCACTTCCACATTGTTCGTAAATGTGAAGGACACATGTGGGATAGTGATACTCTTGTTTTTTCTGATACGGTAACATGTATCCAAAAAATCATCCTCCGCCTCCGGTGCTCGATCATACTTAGTCATATGTTTCCTGAATTCATCTCTCAGTGCTTTGTAGGCAATTGGCGGGAGGCGGGTGATTATTGTGCCCGAGTCTATGATGGTGCCAGCTGATAATTTCCTGAAAATGGTTTGGTAGTGTATAGGTAACGTGTACCCGCCCACAGCAATAGAGATAATGTCGATGAAGTAAAATGAGGGTGATTCCGGTTTAAATGTTAAAGGCGTGAATTTTATTTCTGATCCGGTATTGTTACAATCTTTACCGAATTTAAGGAACCCTTTGGAGCTTGGGACTGAAGGCAGGCAATAGGAGAATTGTTTTTTATACTTTTCAGCAGTTTGGGACACAATCGACGAGTTTGCTCTGCCTAGGCCTAACAATCCATCTGTCCTGCCCATTGATCCGCTGTTTAGTTGGCCACAGCCAAACAGGAAATCCGGAAGAACTTCTTTCGGTGTTAACGTGAGTTTTTCTTTGCCCAAAAATCCAGCGGTAAGGGACCCATCGCTGTACGTTAATGCATAGATGCAAGTGTGAGTTGAGGAGCAGGTGGCCAAGCTAGTACCCCCCACATAGCATTCTTCAGACTTAGTGCAAGAAAAGTTGGAATATGAAGTGGATGCAGACGGGTCGAATATTGGATGCGTTTGATTGTAGCAACTGAGGCTGCACGGTTGGCATTGAGTCCACGACAAGTCACTGCCGGTGTCAAATATGAGATATAAGTCCTTTTTTGGTGTCCCGAGGCCAACGGGGACTATGTAGTTGAAGGTGTAGGGCAAGCCTGATCGGGCCGTGAGTTCGAATTTCGCATTGTTGAATTTGATGCGGGCTTGGATGTGTTCGGCCCGTGATTGGTCAAGGCGGAAGATTTCGGCATGGGATGGTTTGGATGTGGGCTGGTTTTGGTTGGTCAGGGAGCATGGACCATGAGCATCAATGATTTCCAGCTTCATAGAATCTGTGAAATAGATTAAATGACAATTTTTAATATGTGTTATATGCAAATTAATTTAAAGTTATAAGATAAATAACCCATAAATTAGGACGGAAAGGAATATACGAGACTGTTAAGAGCTAAAACTACGAGGAACATACAAGAAATATATTTTTTATCCTGAAAAATAAAATGTCAGCAGGGACATTCTAGGGTCAGGTCTCCTTCGTACATACATGACAATAGTACTCCTCATCTCACCATTAGATCGATCAGAACTTGAATTCCAACTCTAAATTTAATGTGCGAGGCAAAAAAGTATGTTGACTGTCTCGTACATTGCCTCGTACACTATGCGAAATATCTATTATATACTTACTTTGATTTAAATTATAATTTATTTTGTTTCATAAAAAAATTATATTTTAATTAATTATTTTTAGCTCATGTATATATGGTATTAAATTAAAAACGTACTAAAATTGAATATCTGACCATCTCACCGTTGCACTCTTCGTCTACCATTAGTGAATTTAAAAAAGTCAAATATCATTTTAAAAATTAAAACTCTCGACTCGATCTATCCAACAACATGTTTAGTTTCATCACAAGATAGTTCAAACTTTGTTATATCGTTATTAGAGTTTAAAAAAAATTAAAAAAATTACACAGTATATCATTTTGGAACGTCACCTGGTATCCGACCGTTTGATATTTGTGAGCCTTAATGTATAGAAAGATCTTTTCATAAGGAATCCAACAACATTTCCCGATTGTTGATCGGGCTTTTAAATAATCAGAAAGACGCAAGTGAAGTTTCTAGATTTCTGACGGTGCGCGACTGCAGGCCAAATACTTCAACCGACGATTTTCAGCAACTCAGTTGTCCAAATTTGATGGGTAAACTCATTCTTTATTTATTTATTTTTTTCATGGGCAACAATAAGACTTAATCAAATTGATGTTTTGAACTCATATGAGCCTTCAATTCTAAATGATATTTTCTACATTTTTTTTTTCTCTTAATTTTATGCCATTTTTCTGGTTGGTATAAGAACTAACTAAGTTAAGATTTTGGTTGCCAAAAGCAAAAATAAGATAAAGTTAGGGTATCGTATAAAAGAAATTTCTATTAGATTTTTAAGCAAGGGCAATTAGGTAGTTTTTAAGTTGGGGTATCATATAAAAATTATGTAAGGAAGTAAATGACACGTGTCATAATTTTAACGTGTGAATATTATCAGAGATATAGAAGACGTAGTACTAGAATGACCTATTGTCTAATACATCTCCCTTATATATAATTACAGAATGCACTTAGCCTAAGTGACAGACTCTAATGCTTCGTAAACTTATTTGACATAAACTCGTGCTTTGTAGCGACACATATACAAGTTTGATTTTGACTATTAGATTTGAAAATTACCATAATCTATTTTAACTTTCTTTTTTACTTAAGTTACCATATACTACTCTTATCTTTTCTTATTTAACTCATATATTAATTATTATAAATATGTAATTTTTTTACTTTTAAAATTTCATAACTTTTTTAATTGTTCTTTTATAAATTATATATCAAAATAATCATATTTTAACAGTTTTCGATTTGACATCTATATTTTTATACATAATAAAAAATAATTTTATCTATCGATATAAATAAAACTAATTTTATTTAGTAAATAAATTTAATATGTTAAATAACAATATAAATTATTTTTTTAAAAATAATTAAATTTAATTTGTTAATATACCATAAAATAACAATTTTAATGTGTTTTGTTCCATAGATTTTTTGGATAAAATATGAAATAAAGTTTTACTTAAAATAAATTTTAACAAATATTATAAAATAGTATTCTAAATTTAAATAGATTATATAAAAAAAATTGAATGTTATTATGTTTATTAAATAATAAATATACAGAAATATCACAATTAAAATAATAAAATAATATTACATTTCATAAATTTAGAAAATAATAAATTTATGAGTAAATTAATATAATAAATTATTAAATATTATGAATATAAAATAATTGAAAAGTAATAAATACCAAATCTATAAATATAAAATATAGCCACAACACAATAAAACTTGTTTTGTTCTAAGACTTTTTTGAATCAAGTTTATTGAGTTATACATAATATTTATTTTATACATATATAATTTAAAAACTATAATTAAAAATATTATTTTTGAAAAATCTAATATTAAATTATGGGTACCATTTTGAAATAAAATATCACTTTGTTATTTATTTATTATTATTGTATATTCATTATACATAACTTTACAATAAAAAAAATATATTTTTATTAATTGATAACACAATAAATCTTATAGTTTTAAAATGATAGTAGTAAATATCACGCATTACATTATAAAACGGTTTAAAGTAAATATCACGCATAACATATAACCCACGTTATGACTCATCGACATATGACCCAGGTTATGAAAATAAAAAGTAGCAAATGTGATCAAAGAAGGAAATTTATGGTACCAAAATTAACTTTTAAATCTTGGGGGTACTAAATAATTATAGGTAAACTTAGGATATCAAATTTTATTTTATTTTTTCTCAATTTGAACATTACCGAAGAAAATTAGTATGTGAATTTCTTTAGTTAGAAATAAAATGAATGTGCAATCAATGTAAGATATCCCCCTCCCCCTTATATATGTATAACTAGTACAGAGCGCGTGCGATGCACGGGGTGCACAATTTTAAGGCTATTTATCAAGTCTTATAATTATATACATGAATAAAGAAAAATGTACGGGATATATATAGTACGTGACCCGTGCGAAGCACGAGATATATTTATTTAGAGAATATTATATTATAAGATGCAATATTCAATAAAAATTTATAATACGCAAGAAAATTGTACAATGTTTAATAAATATTTTATAATATTCAAGTGGAGTCTTAAAGTCTCTTGTACATTAAGACTACTGACTAATAATATTTAATCAATGAGTTTTCTTTCCTTGTAGTCAAATTGTGAATGTGATTTTGTACCAAAAAAAAAAATAAAAATTGTGAATGTGATTTGAGGAGTACAACAAATCGATATATAACTGACTTTCTTTTTTCATTGTAGTTTTTTTTTTCTTTTTTTTAATAATGAATTTAAAGATATTCTAAAATATAGCAAAAATTAATTTTTTTATTACAATTAGGAATTTTACTTAATATAAACTCTCAATCTATGGTGTTAATCAACGTTTAAGTCTAAAAAATTAGGAATTTTTACCTCTTTTAATCAACGTTTAAGTCTAAAAAACAATAGAGTTATTATAAGTTTTTTTTCTACATCTTTTAAAACTTAAATATGAGCATGTTAGGGCTAGCTTGTAAAATAATTAATATATTATCTCACTAAAATATTTATACTAATAAAAGTTTAATTTTAGCATATAAATTTATCCCTTGATATAAGAGAAAGTAACAGTTTTACTTATTGTTGTTCACCATATAATATTTAATTATTATTTTATTATATAATAAAAAAGAAATATTGTTAAATAGTATAGTAGAATTGGTATAAAATTATATGATTTTTCTTTTTTTTTTTACAATATGAATTTAATATTTTTTATGATTTGATAATATAAACAAATCTATACTTAACTTTGACAAATAAAACAAATAAATACTTTAGTAAGTATTTAATGTATATACTAAATATGAATATATTTGGTATAATCAAATACCAAATATAATCAAATAAGTCTTTTTTTTTCCGAAACGATAGATAATATTATAAATCAAAATGCAAAAATGTGCGAATACACAGCAGCCAACGACTGAATAAACAGCAGTCAACAACTGAAAAAGTGGGAGGACAGGTCAGAAGACCGCCTAGAGTCCCGGCTAGCAACGCTAGAAAAACTCGCAACTAAAACTAACCAACTAAAATAACTAAAACAACTAACAACAACTAAAAGACCCCAACGGAGTAATATCCGAGTGTCGGATCCCACCAGGATAATAAATTTGACACTCGGACACACAGAGGCCAACGGCCCAAACTAAAAACACAGACCTAAACACAAGATATGATAACAGGAAAACAACCGAAAAAACCTAAACAAACAAAGCCCTTCCCCTGCGAAAAAAAAAACCGAGCCTAGCACGAGGCACCAGCGAAATCCAGACCAAACACCCGATAGCATAACACGAAAACCGAAAACCCCTCCCACCACTGCCTAAAGCCTAGCAAGGAAGAGTCCAATCCTCGAACCACACCACGAATGAGGTCGACCAGCAACCCCACATGGATCGATCCGCCCCACCACACAGGCCCGCTTCCCGCGACCCGACCAAAAACCGATGGCCAGAATCCAGACCTGTCGGGATCCAACTCCACCAAACCAGCAAAGAGGACACAGAGGCAAGAATCAAACCAACATAACCCCAGCCGAATAGACTCAAAAGAGCCGATCCACCAGGACCGCACCCAACCCCAATCGCAACCATTCACCTCCTTTAAGCCACCCACCACTAAGCTGCAGCGCAACAGACGAGCTCCCAACGGGGACCGGGCAGTGAGGACGCCAACCGACGGCCAGCCACCATAGCCACTACACCAAGAAACCGAACTCGGAACCACGACTAGCGGGAAGAGAGTGGCGAGAACTGCCGATAGCTTGGGGAACGCCATCGGCGCAGAAGAGCTAGTGATGGAGAAATTGAGGAGAGATGATGATGCTAAAGGTCATCCGCCGGCGATAGGCCCGGCTATTCGCCGGAGAAGGCGCGCGATGTACCGAATCAACGAGCTGCGGCGGCTAGGGTTGAGAGGAGGAAAGGGGCGGAGCCAAATAGTTTACTAATGTTCTTTCATAATCAAATAAGTCAAAGTATACATTTTTATTTGGTATTTGATTTTTTTATTATTAAAATCTTTTTATTATACTTATCTTTTTAAAATAAAACAAATAAATAAATTAATTAAATAAATAAAATATTATAATACCAAAATAGTAATGGCATTTAATGCAAT